TTTTTTTGTTTTTGCAAAAAGAAATTATATTTTTTATTTTATTCATATTATACTATTATTAAATTTTTAGTTCTTTTAAATATAAATTCTTTTTCACATTTCTTCTAAATTATATATGCATCTAATATTATTGCCACATATATTTGGGGAAATGCATTCAATATTACTATAATTTCTTATTTTTTTTTTTTTTTTTTTGCAACTTTGATATTAGTACTTATATTAACATATCAAAATAGTTTACAATACAAGTTAAGTAATAGAATAGAAATAGAAAAAATGACAATAAATTGGAAATGAGAGAGGGGATAAGAAAAAAACTATAAAATAAAATTTTGCAAGTTAAGCAATTGTAGAAGAAAAAGTTGGTAAAGACTTATGTAAAAAAAAAAAAATTGTTAAGTACTTTTCTTTATTTTACTATATTTCATGTAAATCTTGCATATTAAGAATGACTATGATTTGATTTTTTTATTAAAATAATAGTTGATACTTTTTAATTTCAATTTTTAAGGATCATGAATTTAATTAAATAAGGATTAAAAATAAGTAAGGAAGATTAAAAAAATAATAATAGAAATATGAGGTAAAAAATTATTTGATTATTAGATTAACAATTAATAAAATTTATATTAAAAAAGAAAATAAAATGCTACCCTATGTATAAAGAAAATCTATATATTCAACAATGAATAATATATATATATTATATAAAATACTACCTTCAAGAATTAAATAAGCACTAAAATTTGTCATTTTGTTTTAATTATAGAAGAAACTTTGTTAAAAAGTAAGAAAATATTACTTTTACATTAAAATGTAATAAATGTATTTATTATTTTAACTTTTCAATTTCTTTCTCTTCTTATCTTATATTTATCTTTTCAATTTTTTTATCATTATTTTATAAAAGATAAAAATAAAGAATTATAATGTCTATTAATTATTAAATGCATGCTAAAAGCTATATATATTTATATGGAGGTAACATTTTATCTTCCACATTAACCTAAAATTAATGAATAATAATTATTCACTATATAATTATAATGGCATAGTAATTTTATGTTTTAAAATGTATTAAATGTATTATAAATAATAATAATTAATATAACTTAAAACTAAAACTAAAACTAATGTAAAGAGACTATATTATTCTTAATATAAGTGACATTAATATATATTATAAAAAGAAAGAGCATAAAATGATATGTAAAAAATTGATTAAAATTATTAGTTTTATAAGTTAAAAAGATGGCAAAAGAGTCTAACAAATTAAAATAGATATTTAGTTAAAGGAAAAAATATATTTGGTTGATAAAAATAAAACATGTAAGATAATTGATTTATTAAAAAATGTATAAATGTATTTATTAATGTATTTATTATATTCTCTCTATGCCAAAATAATTTTTTTGGTACTTTTTCTCTAAATTAAGTATTTAAGTACAATTTCTATATTTATCTATAATATCCTTAGAAAAAAAGTAAAAGATAAGAAAAGAGTTTTTGTAATTAGATGATTAATTAAAATAAATAGATAATGATAAGGACATAGAAAAAAAAATATCTACTTGAAAAAATAAAAAATATGACAGTTAATTTAAGACAAATTTAAAATAAAAAATACTTATTTCTATTAATAATTTCTTAATATTTAAATTAATTAAAATTTGTTTATTAAAAAATTATTAGAAAATTAAATAATTAATATAAAAGATATAAAAATAATCCCATGCATTAAAAAACCTAGTTTTATAAAAAATAAAAATGAAAACTATTATGACGGTCTAATCTTAATCACATATATTCAGAGTAGTTACCTAAAAAAATTCTTGCAATAGATTCCATGTCAAGATGATGATGATCATGGTTACATTGTTGTATGGTAAGAAAAGATTAATTTTTTTTTAAAAAAAATAAGCAATGTAAGAAAAGATTAAATTTGACTATAATGGAGTATGGATGGCTGATATTGGGAACCTCCAACATCACACATGGGCTGTTGATAGGGCTGGTGTGGGATATGGGTCTCACTTCCTTTCATCACGATCTAATCAATGCCTTCAAGAAGCAAAGTGTCCACTTTTGATTGTTCCTCCATGCTCACTTTTTAAAGGGGTGATTCATTTTATATATAATTTTTTATTATTATTTATAGTTATATATTTTTGAATTAATTTTTATGTATTTTGAAGTTAATTCTTACTTAATAATTTTAAAGATGTATTTTCATATTGATGTATTTAAAAAAATTAATTTTTTTAAGTGTTTATCTCAAAATTTAAAACTTAAATTTAACTTATAAAATAATATTTATTTATTAATAAATCTAATCTTTGTTCTCTATCTTTTCTATTAATAGTGACCTTGTTTTCTATGGTCAAGGAGAAGATAAAGTGCCTTTAATTATCTTTCGCCCAAAGTGTGATTAATAGGTTACCTGTTTGATGTGGAATAATTAAGGAAAATTTCTAAACTTGATTTTCAGATGAGTGGTTTTTATTTTTATTTTTATTTTTTTGATGAATATTTTCAGATGAGCCGTTTAGAAGGGGGAAAAATGTACTGAAATGTTCCAATTTCAACATAAAGAATGGCCTGAGGTTTGAAAAAATTATGTTGCGCCATAGGGATACCACTAACGCCCAATCAATAGAAATATCAAACAATAAAAAAATTTGCATCTCAATGCTAAGGTGTTATTTGAATTAGGATTTTGAGCAAATTTGTCTAAAGTTTCATCATCCTATTGACCGAGATGCCTTTAATGTGGACATCAAATACCACGTTACCAATAGCCTTAGGACACAACAGAATTTTCTCTTTAAGATGGTAATTAATGTCCGAAAATGACAAGAGCCAACAATTCAAAACACCCAGACCTATCAAAATTCTCAGCTTCTTCTTTTTTTTTCTTTTTTTTTTTTTTAAATAATGATAATTGAGACGATAAAAATGATACAAAAATAAAAGACATACATGATGCTGTGACAGTTACCTCAATAAAATATTATTTTAAAAAAGATCTCGCATAACAAATAAAATTATAATATGATAAATTATATTATTGATCTCATAAAATCAATCTATATATTCATCCTCTATATCATCACTCAATATTCATACATATATATATATATATGTCAAAACCCATACAATAATCCGATTAATTTTTTTTTGGTTATAATATGAGGTCAATTCATGTAATGGGCCATTGAATCTGTCTCCCCACTAAATTGGATGTCTTCCCAACAATTTAAACACACAATAGTTGACACAGAATCAGCCAAGAAAAATAATTGAAGAGTCCTAAACAGTGAAGAGGTAATCATCCCAGGGATTTCCCCCCAAGAGAGATTTTGGGGAGTAAAACTGGACTTTGAGTTCTCCATTTCTCAATTTTAGATTTAAACTCTTAGTCAATAGGCAAAAGTAATCCACGTCTTGAAGCGAAGGAAACAGTAAATTGTTTTGATTTCCTCCTCGAGGCCTTTCTTTTTCTGCCCTTCAGCGTTCAAGTCCTTCAAGACATTTTTCTTTAGTCAACAAGTAGAGCAAGCTGACTGTTCTGAGCAAAGAGTTTTGTCCTTCTTTCATTAGCTGAAACTCTCTTTCCAAGCTACCATACCTTTCCTTAATAACCTCTAGCAACTTGTTATTTGTATCTTTCTCCAGGTCCAGATATTTTTCCTTGATACTAGTAAGTCTTGGAGGTCAATGTAGAAAGTAACTTAGAATGCTCTAGTTACTTTTCAGCCACAATATACTTTCTATTTTCGTCAAATGAGCTAGAAACAGCACAAAGAGGACATAGGAACTTAAATCACACTCTGATTTGATTATAGACAGAAGTGTTGACTTGATTATAGACAGGAGCAAAGACACATGACAGAATCAAGAATCTAGAATCTCCTCAATAGGAGAGTTTAAGGGGTCACTCTTAGAAACTTAATATAGACATTTGTTTGGAACAGTGCCTACAGTGTTCTTATAGATTCTAGGAGGCCTCTAAAGTCTAAACAAGGTTTAAGACAGCACGTTTCAATACGGATAGATATATAAACACAAAAGCAGGACAAAGATAAATTTCTAAGCTAAAACATTAAAATGCATGCATTGCATCAGAGACTTTTGGTTTATATATGTGACAATATCAGCTTAAATTCTAGTTCCCCTTAAACTATTTCTTAAGGGTTTCAACTTGCATGTCGTAAGATTATTTTATGAGCTGCAATAAGTACTGTGTTCTACAAGACAAACTAGAAGACATAAGTGATGAGCAGACTGCACTTAACCATTTATGGAGGAGGAAGGCCTACCCCTTCATCAATGGTTAAAAGTAGTGCAGTCATTCTCATATATAAGGAATGGAAAATAAAAATAACTTAATCTGTTCAAGTGCTTTTAAGGTCAATAATGCAGAAAAACAAAGACAAGTAGGCTGCATTCTGAATTAACACAAATTAGATGGGAAATTTTCTTTCTGTCTATTAATTAGATGGGAATTTGGATCTACATTTTGTACGTGTAACATGACAGTATATCACTTGAACAAGGTGTATTACCTTGTAAAGAATATGTAGCAAAGAGTTTAAAGAATCAGAATCTTGAAGAAGGAAACAATATATCCCATAATTATGATAGAGAATAGAATCATAAATGATCTTGATAACTGTGACCAGGCAGCTACCTTTGAGTTGCAACTACATTGTGGATTCTTCACTTGTTTATTCTTCATGATTGGTGTTTCTGATGCAACCAAGGATATTAAAGTGCTTTTCAACCTCTCAGAAAGCTCTTTGTATTGCTCTTGGGATACAAAATTTGCATGGAAAGGCTTGTGACCATTCAAAACAATTAAGAAGTGAGTTTCCAAAGTTGATAAAAGGGCTCTACCAATTTCCCGTGTGCCACATAGTAGTTTTGCTGCTGAAGATTCTCTATTAGATGCCACGTACTGTTTATAAAATAAAAGAAAAGAAAGCATATATTATTTGATTAAATGTCAAAAATATTGGTTGAAAGAGGCAACTAAAATTCACTCTCACCTGCACTGTTGACACAACATCCTCATAAATTTCTTTGCAACTTGCCACAGATTCACGCAATCGTTCAGGGATTTCTTGAATAATTTCCGCTTCGTGTTTTAGTTCAGATATTTCTTTCATTAATCGGTCATTTAATAGTATTTGCTCTGTGTGCTTTCTCTGTAACATATACATTGGCACAAAGTAAAAAATCTGTCCATTAATGAAGTAGGAAGTCAAAACTGGGAGTGGAACAATTTTAAAAAAAAGAAAAAAAAAAAGCAAAGCTTAATGCAGTCGAAAATGCTTGCTATTTTTTGTTGGAGGTCCAACATGTACGTTCATGAATTTAGATGTTTTCTCAAGAACAAGTGGGTTCAGCAAAAATGAAGAAGAAGTGGATATATACAATGTAAATGTACTGACCTGCAGTTCATTTTTCTCTTCAGATATGATTTCTAATTGTCTCTTGAGATTTTCAAGTTCTTGTTTACAATTCTCATATAAAGGAACCTGAAAAAAAAAATTCCATCCATAGACCAAATTAAGTTCTACACCATAACTTATATCCATTATTGTCTATCAATGAACAGTAAGTTTTAAAGAAGTTTAAACGAAAACAACTTCTAATCATCAACTCACAGGAGTTAGTGTTAAGTCACTTAGTGGAAAGGATTGAACTTTTCTGGCAGAAGCCACAGAAATCATCTGAAGCAAATCAAGGTCTGCTTTGTAACCTTTGTTCATTTTGAACCAAGTGTCTTCATCAACCACGTTACTAAAAGAATCTGGAAGTGGGCTATACTCAGACAGATTTGAGTAATTTGATCGCCTGACAACAAAGTTCTTGGGAGCTGCCTTAAAGCAAGGAGTTCTGAAAATGTCTCCTTGGCATTTACTACTGCTGTCACCGCTTTCTTCCTCAGGGCTTTCCCTCTTAGACTTCTGTTCCTACCATTGAATACTCAAATTTATAATCTCCCAAATGAAATTCAGAACTCCTCAGCACATAACTTGACTCAAAAACAGTAATAATTACATCATAAAAAGAACAATATCTAATCAGTTACCTAGCATTCGATGCCAAAAGAAAAGAATCGTTTCAATAAGACTAGCTAAAATCCACTTGTTATCATTCCTAGGAATAATACATTGGTTTCTTAGCAAAAAGTTTGCTTTCTTCTCTGTATTATTCTTTATTGCATACTTCTTGTACTCTCACCAATAAAACTTTCGTTGTTTGATGGAATTACTTAGTCCTCAATAGCTTTCAATTGATTATCTGGACTACCCAAATACACATTGAAGAAAAAGCTAAGAGCATCATACAATTATAACATAAAATAGAATCACATAGCATCAGGGAGGGACTGATGGTCAAAGCTGCTATTGAGGGGAAGACAGTAATCGTGTATTATTATTATGTTTGAACAACTGAAAAGCTATCAGATCAGAGTGAAATAGAATGCACTATAGCACTTAAAAGAAAATTTTGATCTGTTGCTTCGCATAAGCTGTACCTGACTAGAGTTCCTATCATAATCTGAAAATGTAACCAGACTGCTCAGATTTTCAATTTTCATCTGTTGCTCTCTAATGCATTGATTGCATTCTTTGTGTGATCGTCTCTCCTCTTCCAGTTGCATTTCAAGCTTCTCACGCTCTAGTTCATACTGAAATTTTGGCATAAGCAGATAAGTAAATGCATATCACAAAATGTTTAGTGCTCAAGATAACAGATTTGATTTTTCAAATTAAACACAAGGACCTTAAGCATCTCATTCCTAAGTTTTAAAATCTCTTGCTCCAGCACCTCAGCACGAGACCCCTGAAAAATGCATACCAATGTTAATTTGATTTCACAAACATGATAACATATGTTACAGGATTCTCACCTGAAGTTTCTTACGTAGCTCCTCTATCTCTAACTTCTGTCTTTTCAGTAAAGCAGCATCTGTCAAGACCTAAAAGGAATGCACTATGATCAGTTTCATTATAAATTAAAACGGAAGGAACTATAAGCTCTATAAAGTATAAACATGTCAAATCAACTAAAGCAAATAACAAGACGGTAAGTCTTTTAAAATTTTAATCTTCCATCATCTCATGATTTATAGATTATATCAAAGTGAAAGAATTGAAAACATATTCACACAACTTATTACACAGGTGCTTTCTTATCCTTAATTTAAATAGAAAAAAATTGCGAGACCTCCATACAGTTCTTTTTTCTAGCCTCATGGGCAATTATTTTGTAACCTTATAGCTCAATTAGAAATCTGAAAATAAATTCAGATTTAAGGCGATGAAGTAATTATATACAAGAGGATGAACAGACCTCGTTCACTTGAGCACAATTAGTAATTCGCGTCGCTCTACTAGCAAACTGGAGAGTGCCCTTTGTTTCCTCAATGTGGACCTAAACATATCTTAGAACATTAATACTAAACAAGACTACTCCAGGGAGCATAAACACTTCTCCTCCCCAAAACTGGATAGCAAAACAGAAGGTTACCTCTTCTGGTGCTACTGTGCAAATAATCGAAGTTTTGGCATTACCACCGAGGGCAGGTTGAAGTATACGGGTTAGCTTACTATCACGGTAAGGAATATGTCCCCTGTATCAAATATCAGTAACTTGTATCATTATGACAAGTTATTTACATAAAATGATGTTTCCCGCTTTGCAGAATGGGTACTACCTCTGTTTTGCACCCTCACTTAGTTTGTTAATTACATTGCCAAGAATCATTAAGCTCTTGTTAATGTACTTTCCTTCCTTCAACCGTACTCCACCTATTCCTGTTTTAGCAATCCGCTCAGAACCAGCCAAATCTACCAAGTTCTGTTTTCCAATGAAGATAAGAAAAAAATACATGCAGAAATTAGCAGAAGATGTTGACATAATTTGAATATTCACTGGGAAACAAAAAATCACATGATATCTATATATTCTATATATACGTGACATCATAGCGAAGGTACAAACCAAGACTGAGACACGGATGGCATCATTGCTTGAATATCGATCAGAGGACTTCGTATCCTTTCCCCTGCTTTCAATTACCTAGCACGCAAGGTAAATATCATGAATTCTAAAGGTAAATTTTAGTAAATGAATAGTGTGAGATCATGCCCACCAGTGGTATAAAGAGCATACCATTCTAAATATTGTGTGAGACCTGCTACTTCGAACATTCATGTTTGTCTCACCAAAGTGCCTATTAACTGCAACAAAAAGAAAAAATACAAGTGGATATAAACGCTGATATTAAAGTAACAGATCACATCAGAAGTGTAAGGGCAGTTGTTTATGTTTGTTTAAGACCTTCTCCTGACTCTATAAGCTGAAGAACCTGTTCAGCATTGTTTACAATTTCTTCCTTTAGGCCTGCAACAAATATGCCACGCTGAAAGCAAAATTATCAGCGGCTTTATACATAGTATTACATAAATCATTGAAAGTGTGTTCAAAGTTTGGTCAACAACCCTTTTTTTTTTTTTTTGGAAAGGCAAATATCAAATTTATTACTAATGGAGTACAAGGGGTACTCCTACCCATAGCTTAAGTTTGGTCAACAACTGACCTCCAAACTCTCATGAATCTGCAATTTCTGATTCTCCAAGCTCAAAAGGTCATTAATTTCTTCATTGTAAATTTCCATGTAGGAAACTCGAATGAGAAACTCACGGTCAGACATCTGGTGCATTCAATACAAAAAATGGAAGTTAAAGCAATAATGCGATGATATAAAAACATGGGCTTTGAAGACACTCATACTGATGCTCAATTGCTCACTATTTGTATTTTCCGGAATATATCTTCTACTGCCAGATGAATAATTCCCGGATCATTTGCAGAACCATTCATGGTGAATGTCTTGCCACTGCTGGTTTGCCCATAGGCAAATGCAGTTCCTGCAAACATTTCCGTGTCATCTTTCAAATTAACCAATGATCTAGCGTGAAAATCACTTCTCAAATCACAAGCTTCCTTTTATTAATTTTAACTCAATAAATTTCAAAAATTACGACCAAAAGGGAACTTTTAAAAAGTTGCAAGATTGAAACATTTTCACTTCTCAGATTTCTCAGAAACCTCAAACATGAAAAACTTGGGAATTTAGAATACCATTAAACCCTTCAACTGCAGCATGAATGATGTCCTTGGTAAGAAGCTCGTAAACCTGAGCATTTGTGCAACTTTCATCGAACACATAATCTGAGAACACAAAACGGAAAAATGAAAACCGTCGATTAAACGAAATTGTCGCTAATAACTTGCTAAATCGAAGACCAAATAGAAACGGAGACACCAAGTTTTACCGAAAGCGTAAGAGAGGCCGGAGATGGGGGTGCCGTGAAGCTTGTGGAGGGAGATGCGGTTGTCTCCGACATTCCAGTAGGTTCCGGCGGAGGAATCTTGGGAGACCGGAGGTCTCACTCTCACTGCAACGCAGATCTTCTCCATTTTCTCACTCCCTCTGTGCGTTTGAATTGAATGGTTATGGTTGAAAGAATTGGATCGAATGGGCGGGCGGAAGAAGATTTTCTAAATACTGAAAAAACGCTTCGTTTTGAATGTTATTTTTGGATTGACGGGAATGCCCTCGGTCTGAAATTTTTGGATATTTGTGATTGTTACCCAAGGGCCTCTAGGCCTAGGATATTGGGCCTCCCTTAATGAAATTTGTGTTGCCTATTAGATGGGCCTCACCAATCTTACTCTCTAAAAAAAAATTTATTTTCATATTATCTACTTGAGAAAACTATTTTACAAAACGGATTATACGTAACTCATCATATAAAATTACTTAAATATCTTTAAATTTATTTTTATATTATTTTTTCAAGAGCATTTAATTAATTTTACAAGACGGACTGCATACAGTCCACCTTGTAAAACAGTTTTTTGTATCTACTTTACACCAAAGAAAAAAAAAAAATCAATAGAGATAATTGTTTTTTTAAATTTATTTTTGCTTGCATAATATAAGGCTAGCAAACCTACCTCATCTTTTTAACTCTCACTTGCATATTTAGGAGTCGAATGTAGGAATCCTTTGCTTCACTTAAAGTAAAGATTATCATTTAGCTATCTAAATCGTTGTTAGGTTATTGTTAGTTGGTAATTTTGATTAGGAATGCATTTATTATTTCTCATGACATTTCCCCATTGCATGTACATATTGAAAAGTACATATTGATTATGACACCCTAGAAAAATCTTATATTGATAAAGTATGAAAAAGATGTTAAGTATAAAATTCAACATTCATTAACTTTTATTAACACATTTTGAAATTGTGATATCTAAAATCCAATGAATTAAAGCAGACATTATCACTTATAAACTGAGTTTTTACATATTATATCAAAACTAAGTTTGTTTGATCTCTTAAACAATGATTATATGTGACAATTTTAGATAAATCTCACACAACAAAGCATAAGAGGGGTAGTATAGGTCAACATCAATTATCTCCTATTGATACGTTTTAGAGTAGTAAGACTCAAGGACCAAAAACAAACAGTATCAGTATTAAATTGAGTTGTTATATTAATATATGGCCCGGTTGGCATAATCAATTTATGTATAGGTAGCATTTCTCAAAAAAAAGAAAAAAAAGAAAAAAGAAAAAAGAAAAAAAGAAAGTTAAAGAAACAAACCGCTTCAATGAAAAATGATTCGATTGTCATGTGATTAACTTATGATATATGACAAGACTAATTAGCAAGACTTACCCCCATGAAAATCAGTCAAAAAGAAAATCTTCCAACGTTATCTATAAAGTACCTTTCCCTAATTTATAACCTATCTTTTGTTCTCGACCAACTTCCAAGAACTTGCAAATTAAGAAAGATAAGATAACAAAGAGAGGAACTTCAGCAAGCGGCATGATGAGTTCGATGAGTTCGCGCGGCTCATTGAAGGAGATAAGATGTTTATCAAATTTAAAGATTAAATTTTTTATTATTAATCATTAATAAAATTAAAGTAATGATTTACAGGATGACATTATGGGATGATGTTGTAGGATGATTTTGGGAAACAACAAGTGAAGCAAAGTTAAATTGATAATTACTGTTGGAACTGATTCACTTATCGTTCTTCAAAATCAGTCTGTCTCGCGAATCATTACACATAAAATTAACTTACTAATTATTATTTTTATTAAAAAAAAAAAAAGGATAAGAAGATAACAAAGAGAGAACTATAAAGCGAGATAACTTAGCTAGGGCCTTCCGTCATCATCGTGCAGGAACATGATCACAACCAATTAACAATTCAGAAATCAGAACAACGTTCATTCATGCACGCGTGTGGGACACCATCATTTCATGAAAAATGTAACGGCCGGTCTAGTAACTTGAGTACAAGACTTTTTTTTTTCTTTGTTGAACAGTAATTTGAATACCAAACTTTGAAGTTGAGACCCAAAATTTAATGAGACAATTATGTCTCTTGACGATGATGATTATGGAAACATATGTATGGAACCATCTTTTAAGGCGTCACAATCTCGGCACTAATGGCACAAGAAGATTGGCCTATCGACACAAACCCCATTTACTTCCTAACAAGATGGACATATAATTAAACCGACTCCTTTTCTATGCTTTAAATTTTGGTTTGTGATTGATGGTGCTGGTGGTTGGCTGATCATAATCAAATCATCTTTTTATTTGTTTTTTTCTCACCATTTTCATTCTTTTTCTTTCTCAGTACACGATGATGATCCATTTGTTGATTTGATGGGGACTACAGATCCTAATTATCCAAACCCATCCTCTGCACCTGCAAATAAAACAGGCCCCATCTCTCCGGAAGTGCTGTTAGCATAATTCATGCAACTTTATATAAAAATATAAAGAAATATATACGGTACATATAGATACGCCTGACATGCATGCTTTTTCATGGTCGAGAAAATCAAATCTTTTTGCTATTCGTGGACTGTCTTGTTAATTAAAATAGTTGCAGAGAGATAACGTGTTTAGGTATTGCATCATGATGTATACATGGCCCCTACCCAGCTACTGCGTTATATCTATATGTCATTAGGGAAAAGGAAATTAAATGATGAAAAAGGAAGAGATGAGAGCTTGATTCCTTATTGGACGTCTTTTTGACTTGCATGTTTATTGGGTTCGTTGCTTTTTAAAGTTGCTATAAAAAGTCTGTACCTTATTAATTTTCTTTTAAATTTCTAGCTTTATTCAAATTCATCAGCCTTATTAAAACTAGAACTTTCCAGAGATAATATCATTAATTTTCATGAGGACAAGACAACACAAATACATAAACCTCTCATATAATTTTTAGTTGCGTGGATTAATTGGAAGACAACCAATATGCATCAGGATTCAAGAATGTATTGTATTATATGTAGGATATTAATACTAGATATTTTTTTATTTAACACTTTTTATAATATCTT